ACTCATGCAGATATCCCTGGCATGTTTGATTGGGAAGAGCATTCGGAGAATCTCCCGAGTGATGAAATTCAGGTTGGTCGACATCGAAAAATTAAGCAAGTCTAACTTCAGAGATAAACGGAGTCAAGCTCCCTCGCTGAAACCTGACATCTTCATCGGAGGAAGTGGTTTAATGCATATTGCTACCAACTCTGTCAAGTTTATTCAGGAGAGTAATAACTTTCTCACAGTAAGAGAGCTAGAGGAAACCTGTGGTTGTGAATATTTATATTCCATTTACACAGTATCATCAGTCGCCTATTAGCTCACTTCCGTGTTGACAAGACGGGGCCAATGACACAAGTTCTACAACGCACGCACTGGCTAGCCCTCAAAATAATATTGTACGCCCTGGTTTTCCAAACGTTTAAACTTCATTTCTCATCCAGTTCCGTTCGGTTCATTTGAGTTACTAAATCTGAAAACCTGCTGTGAGACAAAGACTCATAGAGTGACAGAATATATATGTATATATATACACAAACTTTGAACCCACACGCACAGGTTGATAAACAAAATGATTATGTCATTGCGCAGAGTTGTAAATTCCTTTGTGGTCAGCTCCGGCACACTCTTGCGCGTGCCACCACGTGGGCAGCGGGTGCCAAATCCAAGCTTCCCGTGCGCTCGGCACGCGGAGGCCAAACCCATTGACCACCCTGGACGATTGATCAAAAACACCGTACGGTTTTCCCGACCATAAATTCATGCTTTCTGATCGTGAACTTTGGGCAGACGCTCCCCTCTCAGGGGGCCTGTTTTAATGCTTCCTGGCCCGGTCGCCAAGGCAACCCTTGACCCACGCGAGACCCCCGTGTGCAATGCCTCTTGATACTTTCCCCCGTGGCATATAAAGCGTGTCGAGAAGGTAGCGTCACCTGTTCCCGATTGCAGAACAAAATTCCACATCACTCAGCATTCAGTCATAGGCAGCGCCACAAAGCATTCCCCAGACAAAATATAACGACAATGCGACAAAGAAGGTGTTTTTCTTGCATATGACCTAAATATTTCATGTACTTCCATTATTGCCCCCCTTTGCTCCAAAACCACACAGTAGATACTTGTTTCTTTCTGATCAATAGTTAAAAATGTTTTATTATTTCACGGATCGTTTTAATCGTATGATCATGGTATATGGTAACACAGGGAGGAGTCGATCTGTAATATTCCCAAATGTCAGAATTGATTTGCCGCGAGAGTCTGGAAATCTCTATCCGGAAAGTGGACACAGAAGAAATAGAATTTGGTTCAGTTTAAAAAAATTGAAAAATAGTCACCCCAGAGTGAACCCCCCTCGTATTCGTGGTGAGCTGAGAGCGAAGGGGTGTGGGTTGTAGGCCAGTCCTTCCCTGGGGGCGGGCGCCTATTGTCAAGGGGCTGATCTTCAAAAGATTGCAACAAGGCGAAATCCTTTCAAAGCAACATAGAGCGAACAAAGGGAGTCCGAACTCGTGCGGAATATAATGCACTGTTTTGCAATATTCTGTGTATGAACTGACCTTGTTTGCTAAGGGTCGTTTTCTTCTCTCCCTCACTGCGTCATTGGGGAGAGATTATGAACTTTTGTTTGTCTTATTTGGCTAACGTTCTCGGCGCTGTGTTTAGGGGTTTATCTGATAGAGATTGAGTTCTGAATTTGAAATGTTTCGGTACTGCACCATCCTCAGAAATTAGACAACTTCACGAGTAAGTACAAAGGTATGTAACCTGCTGATTGTTCGGTAAAAGGTACTCGTTTAGAAAGAGGAGAGTTTCATAAGTTAGTTGAGCGTAAAAGAACCTTTTGGACAACCCTAGCATTTTATTCCCGATGTCAGCTTCACGCCTGTGAATCCTTAGTAGGCACAAACCTGTATTTGCAGTTTGTGTTGTAAAACCTTTGACCCTACTATAAATCACGCCACGAATACCCAACCCTGTGCAAATCAGATGTCCGTAAATTTAAGCGTGATTCAGCAAGCCGTGTCCTACGTTTGTCTCCACTGAAGACCACTCATTGCGTAGTCATGCCAGAGTGACTACAATCCGTCAAAGGTATAAACGGCAGTAGTCTTCACAACAAGGAGGTGTTCACAATGAACGGGAATATTTTCAAAGGACCTGTTCGAATTTCCCTGTCAAGAGGCTTAGACGCCCTACAGGTGAGGTGCTATTGTTCGGATATGCAGGCAGGACAGGTGTGGGCCCACCTGCCCTCCAGAATGGGCCGGGGCACGCGCCACATTTCACGCCCCAAGAGATAACTTTTGTCTGCATCATTTGTCAAAGCTATCCCGCGACAAAAAGGAGGGAAAAAATCGACTGAAGGTGCACAAACATCTGAAAGATTACAGGGGGTTTGCCGCTGTAGCTGGACGAAGTCCAGGGTCCGTTTGCACAAGGTAAAAAATGCGGCCCATGTTGATATTAGATTTGGCGGGAATTTGCTTTTTATCAGCGACTGTACGTAGCTTGATTTCAAGGGTATTACCTGAAGACAGGTGTGCACGTACTAAGGTTTTGTACTGAAGTATATCATATCACATCATAGGTGGTATTTGGACTTTGATCGATCATGGTGTTCAAAGTAACGGAGTTCTGTAAACGGTTATTGAGTAGGCCCTACGCCTTGGAAACCCAACTGAATAAAGAGATTGGTATAAATTTCTCCCCGAGATTTACGCCCATGAAGATAAGCATGACAACCTTCCAATTTTTGCTCAAGACGATTTCGATTCTACGATTAGCATGGCCGGACAAGGCCATCTTGCTGCGAGTTCCGGTCCGTGCCTAGTCCGGAGTGTGGTCTCTGCTCGACTTATGATGGAAACTCCAAGTATCCAAACATCCCCTGTGAACAAAGGGGAAGTCGAGCAGAGACCACACTCCGGACTAGGCACGGACCGGAACTCGCAGCAAGATGGCCTTGTCCGGCCATGCTAATCGTAGAATCGAAATCGTCTTGAGCAAAAATTGGAAGGTTGTCATGCTTATCTTCATGGGCGTAAGTCTCGGGGATGGGGTTATGTATCACCCCACCACTTTTTGAGGTGGGTGATGGGCTATCCAATCATCCCGCCCCACTCACTTTTTGCCATGAGCGTAAAGATTCAAGCAGATTGTAAGGAGCTCTGAGGATTTCCCAACAATAAAAACGTTTGCAATATCACTAAACAGGGATAATTTATCTTATAAAGCCATAAACATGCCATTCTGATGTAAGATTTTGCATGGATTTGATACACATTAAAGATGTACATCTTTATTATGAACACTCCCCCTTATATTTTCAAGCTTCCATGGCCAGGCAAGTCATCCCCCACCTTTCCCCATCTCCCAATTTCCAGCACAGATTTATTCCACTGCCTAAATTGATAAAGAAACAAAAGTACATCATAGGATGAGTGGGGATTGTTCCCAGGATAGGTGGAAACGAATAGGCGCACCACGCTTTTATCATTTCATTTTCAAATGTTTTGCAAAACTGGTCTTTCACTCTTATTATATATTTTCACGTCATGTACCAAATCAAAATTGGGTCGGGTCGTGAGCGGCCACTAAATGCCACTTCAGTGCGTGGAGTACATACAGTGTAGTTATAATATGGACGCTTCTCGGCTGCACCACCACAAGAGGGCCTCCTACCAAAACAAATTATGAAGTATAGTACCCAGAGCGCATTCAATGAAAACAATGCGACGCAAAGTGATTCAGTATAATCACACAGTTGACTCATGGTCAGACTAAATGCCCCGTGACATGTCGCATTTGGTTCCGCTGTCCGTGAAAAAGAAGGTTCGGACAACTTTTAACTTTCTTAAATGTCATTATATCTTTCACATTGTTATATAAGTCAGATAGAGACGGAAGCGGGAGATAAATTGCCATCTTGGAGTCAAGCTAGGCAGACATAGGCCTAAATATTCGACATTAGGGCCGTTTTCCAATACTCGACTTGGGCTCCGTCATGTCCGTCTCAGGCTTCAACTGTTTTTTTACTTCCTGACTTTGAGGTTGTAAGCGCAACAGCAACTCTGAAAGTGCCACAAAACATCAAGTAAGATGCAAAAGAACCAAAAATTACAGTATTTCAATTTAAGTTACACGCTTCAGACCCACAATCGGGGATTGGTTTCCTACACAAAGCCTCAGACGGAGACGAAGTTGAGTATTGGAAAACGGATTCTTACTATTGCTAAGCTAACGTATGGGACTCTGTCATGTCTGTTCAGCATGCACAATCTTGCCACTTGAGCAAACTACACTTGACACTTAGAGTGACGGTGTTTTACTCTTCCTGAGTTGAATGTCAAGTAAATAGTTTTCCTTCAACTCGGGATGGAGTACAGTAAATTTGCGCAAGATTCCAGATTGCACTAAACAACTAAATTTAAAAGGACCAGCCTGTAAAGTGCTACTGCTAGTTACATATACTCAGACTGGCGTCGAGCTGATCAACAAAGCTAGCTTACAGAAAGGCAGTTGGAAAAGTCGGTGTCAGAGGTAGCATAAAGACAGTTCCTTCTAATTCATGATGCTTGAATGATATTATGATGTGCTTAAAGGGAAGAAAAGTCAAAGATTTCCTACAAAATCGATCAACAGGTTCAGTACAGTCAATTGACCATGCAGATCTACCAATTACCCCAACATACTGATTAAGTGTCTCTTTGTTCCCGAGTAAAGATTAAAATGAGTAACAAAGTTTAAGTGTTGTCTTCACAAAAATTACAAACAATTCAGATTGTCTCATATTTTCAGTGTCCATTTGCTCCCCGATATTCTTCATATAAGTAGACTCACCCAACCATGCAGTTTTCATTCCCAAGATCCGTGAAACTTGAACCGATTTGAAATGAATTTGGAAAGACTCAAAATAATCTGTGAAGAAAAATTTGGAAACCAAGGAATCGTTGAAGTTGATCATTTTATACAATTTCAATTTTCGTACTTGGGTCTTTTTTTATCCGTCTTTGCAGGCCATTTTGGATTATTCAGTGGTGCATCGGTTGGTAGCCCTCATCAGACGTGTGGTGGTTATCAGGTTGGAGCACTATGGGAGTCAAAGGCTTGCAGGGCTTTGCTGACAACTGCCCTGGTGTTCTGGTGCAAGTTAACATAGCGCACCTTGCTGCAGACTTTCAGCGACACCATGACAGGAAGCCAGTCCTCCTCGTTGACGGCATGGGCTGTATGCGTACATTCTTCAGCCCAAGGACACCCTGGATTTTCAGTGGGCAGTGGAAACTGTTACTGGACAGAATTAAGTGTTTTGTGGATGCTTTTACCGCAGTGGGGATTGAACTAGTGTTTATATTTGATGGCGTCATTGAAAACTCGAAGATTGCAGAGTGGGTCAAAAGACGAAATGAAGAAATCAAGAAGGTCGGCAAGATCTTTCAGAGTATCAAGAAGGATGGTAGACATCCAAATGACAGTCTTTTGTATCTTCCTTCTGGTCTTAGCTTTTTTTCTCAACAAGCCCTTAAGATTCACGGTGCCACTGTTTATAGTTCTGTCATTGAGGCTGACAGGGCCATTTTTCAATTCTATAGGAAGTACCAGGCCTTTGGTGTATTGGGCCAAGACTCTGACTTCCTGGTGTACGATATCCACAACTACTTTTCACTGAATTCTCTACAATTTGAAAGGAGGCTTGAGGTTAAGAGATACGACAGAGGGAGACTGTGTAGGCAGCTCTGTCTACAGCCCTTCCACCTGCCTCTCTTGGCCTGCCTGATGGGCAACGATGTGATAGCCCATGAAAGTTTAAGTGGCTTCCATTCTCGACTCACGGGACGGCCATCCAATAGGTTCTCCGATCTGCTGCCGGTTGTTGCCCGCTTCTTGTCAGATCTGCAGATTGGGTGCTTGACGCCAAAGGTTGTGGCAGATTTAGAGCTGCGCGTCTTTGGCGAGGCCAAGCACATGTTGGGGCTGATGGACAAAGTGGTAAGCCAGTACGTTCAGTTGACTGAGCCTGAACCTCCTGCTGTTACACACGTCAGAAGCGGTTGTATGGAACAACGCCAGGATCAGGCACTTGTTAAGTCTTCACCTCAGTCTAGATCTGGATCCAGGGCAGGAGTTGAAGACCAGCTTACTTTTCAGGATAAAAGCACAGCCTCGCAATGCCAGACACAGCTGTTTGAGGCCTTGAGAAAGGCTCACGTGAACGCCAACATCCCCTCCAGAATCTTCAACTTGTTCTCTGACCACGTCTATCAGCGGAGACCCGGGCTGGAGGACTCGACAGACTCCACCATGCCTACAGCCGGCCTGCTGCTCCAACCGATTCGTAAACGGATGTATGGATTGATTCTTGGGGTTGGGCCAGAGGAGGATGTGAGCATTTCACGGCTGCCAACCAGTGCCCTGTGTGGAGCCAGTGCGTCAGCAACGAGCTCCTCTTGCTCGGACACAACTGCCAAGCACCTTCCGAGTTTGTGTACACCACTGCAAGGGTTAGTGATCGGTGTGAATGCAGTGAAGGAATGGGTTGCTTGTCCTGGCCACACCCTAGCCATGGAGCCAGAGATTGTGCAAGCAGAGCCCTTGAATGTTCCAGGTGCGTATTGGGAGTGAGGGAGGTGTGGTACCTTCCGCAATTTGAGATAAGTGGGATATGATCAAGGCCTTCATGGTATTGTTCTTACTGTCATTCATGAATCATAATTCTTTCTCAATTGGCTGTTGTCTTAAATAGAAATGTTGAATTACTTAATGATTGGAATTGAGTGTTAAGTAAAGTTCAGTTTTTGATGTCCAATGATGAAGAGTCTAAGCTCGTCGATATTTTCGGTAACGTTATCAATCAGTTTTGCATCTTGACAGTGAAAATGTTGACAATTCCCATTTATTTCCTTTTGGTAAAATTTTTCTAAGGACCTGTAACTCAGAAGGACTTTTGATTGTTGGATTTCTGTGCTGTTGCCTCAATGCATTGCAAGCTGCTGAGTTTAATGTCTGATGGTTCAGAACAGTTTACATTTTGCACATCCATATGAAGATATAGTTTTTTGCATGTGAATTTGAACATTCACAAAAGGTACAAAATTCACATTCTTGAACATGAAATTCATAAAAAAGACCACTCTTCTCATGAGCGAAATGACACAGAATCAACTGAAATTCACTGAAAACCAGCATTTTTGGGTGAGCACATGTAGCTGATTGGAGGAAAAACCTTTCTTATGTTGTTCATGTTGTTCTTGAATCTGAAAGGACGCACACCCCAGCTAGAGGCTTTTTGGCTGGGCCCACAGGCAGAGGCGTGGCCCTTGAAGCTACGGGTGTTCCTGGCCTGTATGCACTGTGACCTGGACCCCGCCCTGCTCCACCGCCTCCCAGTACATCTTATACTCCTCTGCGTCCTCCTCCGCTACTTTGACCAGCACAGCACACCCAGGTTCCTCCGCGAGAACGACGTTGATGCCTTTGTGGCCCAAGCCGTGTGTCTGCCGATGTACACCCTGGCAAGTCTGGAGAATCTCAGGGTAAGACTAGCTATCATTGCAAGCCTGTAAGCAAGCACTTCTGCGTGGGATCTGTCAGAAATCCTCTGTTGTACAGGAAACCAGTGGCACACTCTTTGTCCTTCAGACTTTCATGGACATCCATTGACCCTTATATGTAGTAATAGAGGCCTGGCCCTGCCATTCTCAATCCTGCCAAATTGTCCAATACATCTGGGAGATTTGGAAATGTTTTAGAGGGTTATGGTTATGGCATTTTACATGGCGTTTGCCTTTCAGTGGATATGGCTAAATGCACTGAATGGGTGGTCAGTTTCTTTGGTCTTGTGATTTCTTTGAAATTCCCAATGCCATATCGGCTACATACATGTATGTGTATGAATGGCATAGACTGGTTTATTTAGTGCAAATTGTGTTAGTATGAACCACATACTAGTACATTTTCAAATTTCACCTGTTTCTTCTCAGTTTTTTTAAGTTTGTGAATTTTGTCATGTAGGATTGATGATGGATCTCCGCACATGCATAGACCTTTTTTTTTCAAACCCAGATCAGCTGCTGATGCAAGATTTTGTTCAGACGCTGCCATTTTTTGATGGCTACACTGTCTTTTGTGTCTGTTGATGGCTCAGTGCATAGGTGCGCTTATCCATTCTCATGTGAAGCATCTTTATCGTCCACCATCTGAAAACTTTGAACTCTGATGACATTGTGCTGAGAGCCCTCACTACAGTTGTTACAATCATGCAATATAAGAAAAGACCCATCTCTCTCCATCTTCATACAGTCCTGGGTAGTTTTGTTCATCTGCAGTACCAATAAGTTGACTACTTTGTTTCCCTGTAAGCATGCGACTTAAATTGTTAGTTGATCATTCTGTAATACTGTGCTCTGTCTTGTGGCAAGTACTACACATTTACACATGAGATGTATTACACATTTTTGACGCTGATGATGTGTATTTGTAAGGCTATATTCAAGTGTCATAAATAGTGCTGCAACCAGGTGCCAAGGTTCGGTTTGGGTTCAGTTTGGACACGGTTCGGAAATTTTTGGCCGAACGGATAATGGCAGTTTGTTATTTGAGATTTGCAAACCACTTCGAGTCACACTACGACTTTTGATCAAACAAAAGGCGAGTTAGGCCACCGTGTGAATTCTCACCACATGCTATTTACAACCATCGCTTGATGCGCAGCCATCGTAAGTTTACTGTACATGTACATTTACATTAGCGTACGCATATGTGCCAAGTGCTGGTGCAGCATAACTCGTTATCCATGTGTTTGCTTTTTTTACAAAGTTTTCTTGCATGCATTCCGTGCGCTATCAATGCCATGCCATATTAAAGCTGAGCATCCAAACCAACCAATTTGGTTCGAAAGTGCCATCTTTGATGATTTTTGGTTTGGTTCGTTGGTTCAGCTGCAGCACTAGACATAAGTTATTTAACATTCGTATTTACCATGTGGCCTTTCAAAAATTACATTATTCAAGACATGACATGACAATTGAAATTGTATACCCCGACATAGGCAGCATGGATATTGACTCATGTTGATACAGCTGTGATCTGCAATTTGATTTTATCTCACCAGAGGCCACGAATTGATACCAGGGGCGTACAGCTGGCCGCCCTCTTCTTGAGGGGCGTGTCCCTGGTCTGTGAGGTCAATGGGGCCTGTGGCCGGCCTCTGGACATGGCCAACCTGATGCCCTGGCGCTTCTTCGACGGCAAGCTGTTCCACCTGAAGTACCTGATGAGCCAGGGTAGGGTGTCAGTACAGCAACTCTGCGACAGAAATGTGAGTCCATCTTTTGAGCCTTGTGGCCTGCCGGTCAGAGTCTTAACCTTGTGTCATTGGAGCTTGGAACCCACTTAAGACCGGTTGGAACTTGAATCTTGTGTCATGTTGGGGTGGAACCAACTTTGGGCCTGTCATGCCAAGATGCCGCAAAAATATTTGTATGTTTAGATGCACAGTGACTGTGAACATTGCGTCATTTTACAAGCTTGAGCACTGTGGTTGTCACAAGCTTGGAGTTCCTGTAATGAATTCACTTGCAGCAAAAGGGAACAAGTTCAACATCAAAGGGCCATGTAACAGAAATAGTGTACTGAAATACCGCAAGTGTAATGCATTACCCCATAGTAATTGATTGTCAATCTTGTTTTGCCTATTGTAGGGAGGCTTGTGGCCTGTTTTCCATGCTAATGAAACTGTGCATATTCATCAGCCAAACAGTGATTTTTGGTGAAGTTAAAATTCTGCAGGTGCATTCGCATCAAAGTTTCCCTAATTTCCCTTTTTGGCATTCAGTTCACTTTTCTTCATGCATACGTCCATTGTCCAGTGCGGTGCTTAGGTTGTAATTTAAAATGAAAATCCTGTGTTACTTTAATATTACCTTCAGGCTGAAATTGATTTCAATGACCCTTTGTACCCTCTTACAACTGAGATTGATGTGGCTGATAGAGGAATTGGTAGCCCTCTGGGCTTCAAGCAAGACTGACAAGAGTGCTTAGCTGCATCGTAAATAGACTGTGCTAGATTTTATGATTGCTCTGTGATTGCGTGCTTCCAAGATATCTGGCACAATATAAACGCTCCATTGCTGCTTGACCAATGCACCAAGGTATCAAAGACTCATCGAGTGTCCCATCAAGCTGTCATTTCCCGTGATTTGTTGTTGTTAATGGTTATCCTCCCGTCATGTGCGTAGTTTGCATATCTGCAGACCCTGGAACCCTCCTGCGGTACCTTTTGAGAGAAGACCGGTTCATAAATTGTTCAGGGCGGTCTGGGAATACGGAATTTTATGTCGGAGGTTGGCTCGTTTCACCACACAGCATACCTCCTGAATACTTGCACTGCAGTGTTTTCTTTGTGCAGACATACAAATTGCTTGGGACCGTCACAAGACATTGCACCAAAACAAGTACATGTTCGTCGTCACTATAAACATGTTTGTAAACATGTCGTGGGGTTCATCTTCCCATCTAGTGATGGATGTTGTCCGTCATCCTGATGGAAACCGTGATGTTTGCATTTTATTCAAATATTGGATCTTATGATTTAGTTGATGACATTTTGTCCAAAACCTTTGGATTTCACTTGGCAAAGTTCTGTCCTGTTGTCATCCTTAGCCGCTTGACACGTGACCTGTCAAGTGAGTCTTTGTCAAGTGGGTCTTCATTTACCTGATGGCGTCTGATGGTTTTGGTTGAAGCATTGTCAATCAAAATCTAAGCTCCAGTACTTTATTGATTTACAAACATCAGCTTTCCCAACATTTATGCACAAAGACCTATTACCCTCCCAGAACCTTTGAAATCTTCCCTGAGGTTTAGAGGAGTGTTGCAGTATCGAGGAAATGGTGTCCAGCCTCCATCTACGGTTCTAAAGAATGCACCATAGGTTTCCTGTACAAGGGAGGATTCTGAAGAGCCAAGGAAGATTCCTGGCAAATTTACTTTTGGTAGTAAGTTTGAATGAAAGGGGATGCTTTTGATAACTTTACCAAGTTCTTGTGGATAGTGAGCATATTGTAAGTGTCATTTCATCACCATTCAGTCATGTTGCTTGGTACCAAGGGTTGCTGCACTCAAATAAGACAGAGCTGAATGCATGTCTGATTGTCAATATTTCACAACAAATTCTGTGGTGTTCCTCTGTTTCACATCGTGCCAGGGTAGCGATTATCATACTGACCAAAGATGAAAAACATTTGCATTTGAATTTTGCGATATCTAAAAAGTGGGAGCACGAGGCAATACAAAAGCCAGAAACCCAGGCGTATGAGTGGACGCCGTTTGGTCTGACAGCAAAGCTGTTATCTACACCTTCTTCAAAAGATTGGATGTTTTTCTGCACTAAAAGGAAATGTTTTTAGCTGAGATAACAGTTGGTCAGCTGTAGGGTTTTGGTAAACAAGGAACCCCAAAACAACTGAAAAATAAAAGCTGCGACCTTGAGAGCCCTGGGGAATGGCAACCCTGGGACTTCCTTTTTGCAGACTACGGAACAGTCAGCGAGCCAGTGTTCTAGTACTTGATAGGGAAGAAAACATGAATTGTTCTGATTCAGAAAATATAGGCCTATGATTATGGATGCAGTGGTGAAACAAATTTTTATGAGGGGACAAATGGAATGTTCCATTCTATGACAAGCTGCATAGAATGGATTAGTTCATCTATCACCAAATGATTCTTTCCATTGCACACATGCGAATTATTCATTATTTGTTCGTACATTGTCTGAAATAATCCGCAATAAATTTCCACCTAATTGAATCCCACTGCAATGTGGTCAAAAGGTTTTTTGTATGATGCATTAACCGTTTTTTTTTGTATGATGCATTAACCGTTCCGGGGTGTCTGGGATCGGGTACCTTGGGTTTCTACGCATAGCCGGGGTGCCTGTACTCGGAACAAAAGACCGGGCTGCTGGGAATTGCCAACATTTTTTCAGTTGTCAAAAGCGGAGGAAATCCATTGTTTTGAAAGGTTACATCTCTGTTTGTGGCATTCAGCACAAGCAGATTACCACCGGGGATAAAAGCGCTCCAGTGATGAGTCATACAATACCGCTGCATGCTAATCTGGCCCCCTATTGAAAAGACGCCAGCAGCGCACTGGGCCAGTTTCAGGAACAAAAGAAAGTTACATTACACCGCACAATCTCAGCTCTTTTTACAAAGCGGCAGGCCTGTCTGAAATACTCGGGCGTCAATAGATGTTGTCCGTCATATTAGAGTAGACACCAGACAGTCACTTAATGGGGAGTAGGTGTTCAGGTAAAAAACAGATGAATTGTGAAGATTTTGGAAAACCGAAGATATTGAAAAATCGCCCGGCATTAGACACTGCATTTCCAAAGGCACCCAGCAGCAATTGGTTAAGCTACCCCCCCCCCGACCCACCTCCCAGCTTCCACCATTAGCTATTGTGCCATATGTTGGGATGAATAACCCATGATTGCCTCCCTCTTGACCCAATAATCAGATGACATGGATTTGTTCAGGTGTTTTTTGAAACTCATCATGTTATCAGTTATTGCTCACCGTTAGGCCTAATTCATATTTGGGAGGGGCATCTGAAGGAAGCGGGGTAAAAGTTCTTGTTTAAATTTTGATTTGTTGCCTTTGTGGACTCTTGTTCTGAGTGACACAGTTTGAGATGTCATGCGGGGCATTGCACTGCGTTCTTGAAAATGAGGTGGAAAGTAGCAATTCACAGATCCCTCCTCCCAAATCAGCAGGAATCTGAATGCAAAAATCAGGTTAGACTTGTCAAGCTTCATCCAATTGAAACATTTATAAATTGATAGCATTGTAACAAAGGTTTTGAAACTGGACATTTTATTCACTTGTTGATTCATGCAATTTACCATGGAGAGAGAAAGTATTTTGTTTAAATAGAAAGAGGTACTGAGTTGCTGAGGCACAAAATTTAACACTTCTTCCACCATTTTGTTAAAAGAGAAAATTGGAAATGAAAAAGGCTTTTTATATTTGCCCAGTGGTATTAATCAGTTGTTTGGGAAATGTATTGTTGAGAAGAATGGATTTGAGCAAGGCTGAGGAATGTTTGATGGGGACGTAAGCCAGGGAGAAAATTAGTCTCGACATGACTTCTACCTTGCACATGCTTGAAGAAGGTTCCCTCGATACTATGCACATGTGGTAGTAATCAACTATTCCATTTTTTTGTTTTCTTGAAGACAGCATCTCAGACTTAATCCAACTTTGCTAAGTTGGTGTATAAGATAATGAACAGATGTAATGTCTGGATGATTCTTTGAAAAAGTTTAATAGACTGAAATCATTCTGCATAATCAGTGATCATTGCAATAATTCCGATTAAAGATTTTCTAGGTAAGCAATCTGTGATGCCAAACGAGCACACCCACCACCTGTTATTGCTGATGGCTTCCTCTAACAATGCCTTCTGCTTGTCATTAGTGTACATTTTAACTCTGGAAGACACCATTTTTTTCAGTCGCAAATGAGTGCCGTTCACCAGCTGTCGGATGAAAATTGGACCCACACCTCTCTTTGTGTCTCTGAAGGAAGCATCTCCGTGGATTATCATCCTCAGTGTGGTAAAAAATTGGGTTTCATTAGCTACATGCCCACTGAGATACATATGTCATTGGTATCCTGAATCCCTAACTCACCAGGATTCCAAATGTGTTTGTCTTGTTTGTGTGTGCCTATTAATGATGTTTCCACAGGATACAGACATTAGAGAATTAATGAGCTTTGTGTCAGTGTAACTTCACTGCCCACAGGGCATGGTCTGGCACCTCTCCCAACCTCCATGTAGTTTGGATCCTGGTCTTGCAGAGCTCCATGATTTCTTTCCACACTTCTGTGTCACACCTGCATGTGTGCTGAAGGCATGCCTGATTCCAGTTCGTGTTTCAGTTACACCTGTTTCAACAGCCAAACAGGAAATGCTCACTGGAATAAATGTGCATCGTATGTTATCAGTCAGAGTTGAAAGAAAAAAAAATAACAAATCAAGGTTGGCAGTAGACATAAGTAGCACAGCAGCATTCACATGAGCACAGTGTTAACTGTTTCTAGCTGTAGTTATTATGATGCTTACAAATGGGTCATTAGGGAGACTTTTTGTGGTAAATTTTTCGACAATAGGGAGACATTGGTCATTGGGAGACATTTCAATGTCTCCCAATGCCCCAGCTACCAGAGGGAGGCCGAATTTTACAGTCCAAATTTTGAGAGATGATAGATTAGGGTCTAAAATTGAAAATATACAAAGTTTGGTTCAGATCAGATT